AACGCCAACACACCAATATAGCTACTATACTAGGTCCTCCAGTGGAGAGGTTAGAACAAGGGTGCCAACTTTTTTCTGTAGTCTATTTTAGTAGGGGAACCCTCCCAACCAAACAAGTTGGTGAAGAGGGCACTTCTGGGGGACCTAGTCTATGTCAAGGGTACACCCGCAGCACACCATTTTTGGGGCGCCCAAAGACGACGAAGCCGACGAGCCGCTCCACCAGAAGCGGCTCGCATCCTCCAGCGCGTGCCGCGCCAGCTGCGCAAAGTTCTGGAAGCCCTCGAGTCGACTCGGCCGGGGAGAAAACACAAGCACCAATGGCCCAAGGTGGCGCCAAATGTGCACGTGTGTCTGTGTGTGTGTGTGGTGTGCTGTTGTGTGTTGTGTGTTGTGGTGTTGTGTTTTTGTGTGGTTTTGATTGTTGTTTGCTTGTAGTACAAATGTGTGTTGCTACGTTGCTTTGGGGGAAATCAAACAATATTCATTTCAGCAAATGGAAGTCGACCCCAAGTCTCCAGCAGCTCCTCAACCCTTTCATCCGCCTGCAGTGCCGCCTGGGCGGTGGCGCCGCCCAAGACCTGCAGGTCCAACACGCGGACGTCCAGCAGCTCCACACAGCTCCCCACCTCATAGCAGGCCTGCGACAAAAAGAAAAGAATCCGCCCCTAGGTCCTCCAGGCCTGCTATGAGGCGAAAACCATGGTCAGAAGTTGCACCTGTTATTGCCATGACTAAAAGTCGCGCCAGTTTTAACCATGGTAGCGAGTTGGTTGAACATCTAGGTCCTCCAGATTTGAGAGGTTAGAATACGGGTATTCCGATTTTTTTCGGCAGTCTATCGGGAACTCTCCCACCAAAAAGTTGGCAAAAGGGCACTGAATCAGTACCTGGAGTCTCCTTCTGACCCTTTAAAAATGGTTGGCGGCCCCGGTATTTTTGGGTCACCCACCCATTTTCCTACGGCATCTCTCTCACGTGCGGTTTCGGGGTTTTTCGCGGGTTTCGCGGGAGGGTTTCGAGAAACGTGAACCCCTCGAAAGGGGAAGCAACAAAAACAGATAAAAAACCCTTGGATCTTGACTCAGTTGTTCAGTGACCCTGGAAAAAAAGGGAACCCTTCTTGGGGAAGACGAATTTCAGTTGGGCAGCCAACAAACAAAAGGGGGAAAAGAATTGGTGCCACTGAACAACTGCGTTGACTTCCTGGAGTCTCCTTCTGACCCTTAGGAAATGGTTGGTCATGACTCTCAAAATAAAGAGTCATGACCCACCATTTTTCCCGAAAGCATGGCGAAGGGTTCTTCCGCTGGGTTCACTTGAATTGTTCTCATGAGAGTCATTACAAGGTGTCATTGCACGGAATCATCATCATGAAAGTCAATGCAAGGAGTCATTGCAAGGAGTCATTGCAAGGAGTCATTGCAAGGAGTCATTGCAAGGAGTCATTGCAAGGAGTCATTGCAAGGAGTCATGCAAGGATTGCAACTTGCACTTGACTCCTTGCACTTGCAACTTGCACTTGACTCCTTGCACTTGCAACTTGCACTTGACTCCATGCACTTGCAACTTGCACTTGACTCCATGCACTTGGCTCCTTGCACTTGGCTCCTTGCACTTGGCTCCTTGCACTTGGCTCCTTGCACTTGCAACTTGCACTTAACTCCGTGCACTTGCGACTTGCACTTGACTCCATGCACTTGGCTCCTTGCAACTTGCAATGGCTCTCATGACTCCTTGCAATGACTCCTTGCAATGACTCCTTGCAATGACTCCTTGCAATGACTCCTTGCAATGACTCCTTGCAATGACAATGACTTGCCTTGCCATGACTCCTTGCAATGACTCTTGCAATGACTCCTTGCAATGACTCCTTGCAAATTGAAACAAGCAAGGAGTCAAGTGCTGCAAGTGCAAGGAGTCAAGTGCAATTGACTTGCGAGGAGTTAAAATCTCTTCTTAGGGCGGCGGGGTAGTGCCGACGACACTACACGAAAATGCGACCCTCTGCAGGGATCGGCGTGGTCGAGGTGCAAAAACCCATGGTTTTTTGCGATTTCTAACCTGCTCGCGCGACCCTCTGCGGGGATCGGCGTGGTCGAGGTGCAAAAACCATGGTTTTTTGCGATTTCTGCGGTGCTCGCGCGACCCTCTGCGGGGATCGGCGTGGTCGAGGTGCAAAAACCCATGGTTTTTTGCGATTTCTGCGGTGCTCGCGCGACCCTCTGCGGGGATCCGCTCGCGCGACCCTCTGCGGGGATCGGCGTGGTCGAGGTGCAAAAACCCATGGTTTTTTGCGATTTCTGCGGTGCTCGCGCAACCCTCTGCGGGAATTGGGTGTCGAGGTGCAAAAACTCAAGGTTTTTTGCGACTTTTGTTGTTCGAACTGGTCTTTGCTCCCGGAACCGGCGGGTCGCGGGTTCGATTCCTCCCTGGTCCGCGGGCGGGCGTCGCAAGATGCAACTTGCATTTTACAGCAACTTGCGCAGAGCAACTTGCGCAGAGCAAGTTGCACAGAGCAACTTGCGCAGACCAACTTGCACCGACCAGTTTGCGCAGAGCGCCTTGCCTAGAGCAACTTGCGCAGAGCAACTTACGCAGAGCAACTTGCACAGAGCAACTTGCACAGAGCAGCTTGCACAGAGCAACTTGCAGGGAGCGCAATTTGCACAGAGCAACTTGCAGGGAGCCACTTGCAGGGACCAACTTGCCGGAGCAACTTGCGCGGAGCAACTTGCGCAGAGCAACTTGCACAGTGCAACTTGCGTAGAGCAACTTGCGCAGACCAACTTGCACCGACCAGTTTGCGCAGAGCACCTTGCCTGGTGCTGTCTCGCGCTTGCTTCACGAAGTGTAGGGAAAAAGAACGCATCCTGCAGCGTTGGGCCGACCTCGCTTGCGATGTTCTGCTTTCGGGCCAACCGTGGTCTAGTTTAAGGGTCAGAAGGAGCCTCCAGGTTTATGCTTACGTCCGTTGGGCTTCCTTCCGACCCAACTCTCTGCCGAGGTTTTCCTGTGGCTCCCTTTCAAAGGAGAAGTTCCCTAAGGCGATCATGGCGACTATCTCGACCAGCCAGCCAAACGCCAAGCCATCAGTCGCACGGTTTTGAGGTTTCCACGGGACGGCTGGAGCGGCCCCGGTGGTACCTGGGGGGATTTGAACCTCACCGTTACCCAATACCACCGCCTCAAACGCCAAGCCATCGAAACTCTCAAAGCCCAAGCTTCTTTCTATCTGGGAGCCCAAGAACCGGGAACCCCCACCAAAAAAACCGTCCAAAACGAGCCGTCCTTTCTCTCTCGTTCTCTCTCTCTCTCTGGTTCTATGGCTGTGGTTGTCAAAACCAATGGGATCCCATTTTGGTTGGTAGGTGAATTCACCACCCATTATACAACCTATTTTGGTGGGGATTGGGATGTGAAAACTGGGGGTACGGGATTTTGACCCATGGCCATATATATATATATATATCTCTCTCTCTCTCTCTCGCCCAAGGGCCTCGGGCCGGAACTTTTGGTACAGCGCCTGCGCGTCTGCTCCCAGCCGGCGCCGAGTCGAATCGGTAGTTCGGTGGTGAGGTTGCGTGGGCTCCCATTCCGCAAGAACCCGGGGTTCGAATCCAAAGCAATCCAACCAAGGGCTGTTTGACATGGAAAACCTCAAGAAAAACCAAAGACATGGCAGGCGTGGCAAGATCCACTCGCACAAAAAAGTACCTTCCCACAACCCTGACTCTAACTTCGTGGTGTTAAGTAGGGAATCATCAAGGATTTTTGTGTTTTCGGAGCGAAACCGGAAGCGGACCCCCCAAAAGAAACCACAAAGAATGGTTTAGGGCCAACTCATTCCCCGAGCACCAGCAAGCTAAGTGTTGAGCAAAAAGTCATTAAACTTTCTGTGGGTTTCATGGAAAATCCGTGTGTTTCCGAAAGTCTTACGGTCCTTGCGATCTCTACGCATCTGCGAAGTGATCCAATAGGTCACTTGAGATCCGGTCATAAAGGCCAGCCATCTGCAAGGTTCAGAAAACTTGAAATAATTCCGTAATTGCAAGATTCCAAAAGCTATATGTTTCCATAATTCCAAAAGCTGAAATTAAGAGACATCTCCAGGAAACACGCCTTCATCATAGTGGGCAAGTTCTCCCCTCGGATCGATCCGTGAGCTCGCCATAAAATCCGCAGAGTGACGGGTGAAACGCGCCGCGATGCGACGCCTCTGTGGCGTCTCGCAGCAGCAGCGGCTCTTTGAGCCCCGACTGTGGCGCCAGCGCCACCACCAGCACCTGGAAACTCTTTGGAGGCAAAGGGTCTCTTTTACAAGCAACTGCTCACTTTTTCATGAGTGGATGGCCCAAAAAAGTAACCAAACTTGTTGGATGCCACTTCCCAAAAAGCAACCACTCACTTTTCCATGAGTGGATGGCCCAAAAAAGTAAGCAAAGTTGTTGGATGCCACTAGAATGGTCTTCCCAAAAAGTATACACCTCCCATGAACTCAGGAAGTGAGACTAGCAAACAGAAGCGCTGTGTTCCTTCTTTTTAATACGGGGCTGGGGGGGGGGGGTACTGCGGCTGGTTACGAAATCCAAGTGAGGAAACCGCCACTGTAAGGTTTCATTGGTGACATGTTTCTCCCGAGTTTGGGGTCTTTCTTGGCTGTTGCTTGCTGAAAGTTGTCCATGTTGAACATATACCAATCTTTTCGTAGATACATCTGAAACATAGGTATGTCAGGGTTGATTGAGCTGAGGCAACCCCGTTCCAGCCTTGACCGCCTTCCAGCTGATTGATCGGCCATCTGACGCTCAGCTTCTGCATCAGGTTGCTTCTACCCTGGAACATGAACGAGTTTTGGAGGAGACTTTAGCAAGCAGCTTGACATCTGGATCAACTCCCAAAAAAGCGCGACTACCTTCTTCGCCGGGAACTTGGCTCTTCCTTTCTAAGGCTCCTTCCTGGTGGTTTTGTCGGCTGGTCAAAATTAAGCACCAGGAATTGGATTTACTTTTTGACCCACAGCCTGGTGGTTGTTGGTTTCCTATCTGAAGTGTTCCTTTCCGAAGCCTTGCCAGTTTGTATTTTCGTATCTGAAGCTTTCCTAGGTCAAGGCTTCCACGCGCCGGTGGGTTGGTTTCGTGGTTTTGCTTGTGAGGTTGGGTTTTCTTCCCAGTGACTTCTACACTTGAGACCGGGTCGGGCCGTCGGGCCTCTGGCTCTGCAGCATCGAAGTCTTCCTCCACAGCTGCCACTGGAGCAACGGGCCTCCAGACCCGGGGGTGGAACAGCTTGGGCAGAGAGGCTTGGCCCCGGAAAAAAAAGGGGGGAAAAAAACGCACACACACACACACACATCTCTTGGTCAAAGACAAGCATGTCGTGGCGTTGTGCATCTGCTTGATTTAGTCCCGTGTGGTGTTCAATGTTTTATTTGAGGAGCCCGCAGGAGACGATCATGTTGTGACGATCAGCTGGGGTTCACAGGAGCGAATTTTACGGGAGGGTGGCTCAGTTCCAATGGTCTTGGTCTTGTTTCGGGCCGAAACCCGGTATTCCCACACTAAGACTGAAGCTGGCAGGACTCAAACCTGCCAGCTTCCCCACCCAACTGGCGGGCGCGCTGCCACTGCGCCACAGCCCCTGCATAACCCACTGCCTGCATTTGCAATCCAGAGACTGGCGTCTCGTCTCGCCACTGTCTTTTTCGAATAATTTAAGCTCAAGCACACTGGATGAAAGTGAAGGCGCAACAACTAATGTATGTGGTGTGGTCGGGCCACTAGCCATTTCGAAGTACCTTCTTCAGTGTACAAACAGCTCAGCCAAGTGGCAAAGGGTAGACCAATTGATGTACGACAGCTAGAGGTTACTGGCTGAACAGTGGGTGATTTCTTACACCCGCAAGAAAACCATCGGTAATCCGTGAACCAGATGCCACGCGAAATCCATTTTGAGAGACCCGCAAATGGTGGTTACCATGATAGGTGGAAAGAAGGTAATGCCGATGACAATTGGAGCTTCATTTTGGCGCCCCTTGAAGCCAAACCCAAAAAATATATTACAAAGACCGAATGCAAATAGAATTAGGATGGGGTTGTAGGTACGTGAACACCATATTTAATCATGATAACGGCAGGAGCATCTTCGCAAGTGTGTTGCGTCTCCAATTACTCAGTTTCCTGCTTGGTTCCCTCTCAAACCAACCCCGTTCAACGGGCCCGCAAAAGAAGGCGCGCTTTGGTTTTTGATTGGCTTCCCTTTCCCTTTTGCACCAATTCCCTGTTGCTTCCCTTTCCCTTACAGCAACCCCCGAGCAAAGGAGCCACGCCCACAGCGACTCGAGCGGTGTCTGCCACCCTTCGAGTGTGGCGGTGCCTAAAAATGGGGCGAAGTAGCACAAGAAATCCAAGGGCATCAGCCCCCTTTGCAGATCCCTTTTCAAGCGGCCGTGATTCTTTCTCGCGGCAATCACAGCTGCTTGCTTTCCCTTTAAATCGAAAGGCGGGGAATGAGACCTGAGAAAAACCATCCATCCGATTTGGTTTCCGTTTAGGCGGGACCCAAAAATGGACTCCAAGGCTTCTTGACGCACATCCCTCGCTAGCACCCGGAGAGACCCTGCGAACCTCCCTTTAAGCTTTTTACCTAAGGGAAAAGCTCACCTCGGATGGGCCAAACTGGTGCTGTTGAAGTCCACCAGCCGGCATTGGGGATCCCCCAACATGGTGCTTTTCTTTTCTTCTGCCTATAGTTCCCTTGAAAACGATCAACACTACTAGGTCCTCCAGTAGGGAGGTTAGAATAAGGGTACCGACTTTTCTCAGGACGTGTTTAGTAGGGAAGCCAAAAAAACAAAAAAGAAACGGTGCGAAAGGGCATCTAGCTGGGGGACCTAGCATCCCTTTTCTTTCGGGGATCCCAACAAATTGTGTCTTTTAACTTCTGCCTACTGCTCCCTTGAAAAGGGCATCCCCCAAATGGTGTTTTTCTTTCCTTCTGCCTTGTTTCCCTTGAACCTTTCCTCTGCCGAGTTCCCTTCAAAACGATCAACACAAAGAGTTCCCACAAAAAAAACAACGATCCACACCTTCCTGTGATCCTCCGCTAAGAACACCAACCCGCCTCGTACTCCTGCCTAAAATCCCTTGCAAACGATCACGAGTACCGAGCCCTGCCAACTTCTGATCGAACAGGATAGGTTCTTCCTCCATCCATAGAAAACCATATTATGTGAACCATATTTTGTTGAACCACATTTGGTCAGTTTGGACCTTTGATTCAGGTTGGACCCTTGGATAGGAGGAAAAAGCGTTATAACCATGGTCAGCACATCTCTTTCCAACGGACAGATGGACCCAACACCAGCGCACTTCAGTCACTTCGCCCCGGACCCGTGCGACAGGCGGCGGAAGCAGCTCCGAAATGGCCAGCGGCGGCTTCTCGGTGAAGGCCACGGGACGCCCGGAGCCGAGGTCCCCTGAGGCCGGGGCGCGGGGTCAGTTTTTTTTTTTTTTTTTTTTTTTTTTTTTTTTTTTTTTTTTTTTTTTTTTTTTTTTTTTATGAAGACTTATTTCCCTTTTAAGACACCCCATACACACCAAGAAAAACACAGCTCCCAAAATGGTCGCTTGAGTTCGTCTCTTTGGGGGGTGTGCTCTTCCGCTTCTTCCTGTTGTTTATTATTATTATTATGATTATTATGATTATTATGATTATTCTTATTATTAGTATTATTATTATGATTATTATTATTACTATTGTTATTATGCTTTCTGCGAGGGATTGGGGGGGTGTTTGGGGACCTGGTCCCCTTCAAAGGGGCAGCATTCATAGAAACCAGCGAAGGAGTTACCCGAAACTTGCCGCCGAAAGGCCAAAACCAGCCAAGGAAGTCTTGGTTGCTTTTTGCTCCCCTGCTAAAAGTTTAACTTTTCGTGGTTTAATGGAAAATTCATTAGTTTGCATAGTGTGTTAAAGTCCTAACAGCCAAGCAAAATGCACCAAGCAATTACAGGAAACTGGCCGACTTCTGCACCCCAACAAGGGCTTCCCGAAAACAACTCCTCTGGTTTAGAAGATCCTTTTGATTTTTTCTTGGCTAGTTTTGACGCTTGAAGGGAAATCCCGAGCGCATAGAAATTCCTTCGGCTCCAGCCGTTTGTGACTTGATTCCGCTATCAGTCGAGAGCGGTTTGTTGAGGGCCTGACTTGGGTCCTGCCCTGGCGCCCTTTAGTTGGAATACAATCTCACCGATGGCTTGGGGCGAGGGATTGGTTTAGGGTTGCCTGTTTTTTTTTGCTTCGGGTTCAGATAAGGGGTTCATTGCACATGATTGTCCCACCGAAGTGCCTTCCTCTGGTCTAGGCCCTTTATAGGACCTACCAGAAAGGCTCTCTTGGCTTCCTCTCTACTGTGAGGGAATGCAGGGAATCGGTCCATGGAAAAGCTGCTAAGTGACTAAATCTGGCCTGGGTCAACGCTTAGTAAGAGTGCTTTCCACATCTCACATAGCTCTCCCCCCAACCACGACAGGGACGCATGTATGGTGGCACATCCGGTATATCCCATCAAACCCAACAAACCCCACCCACCCCGCCCAAACAATTTAACCCTGCCCAGTTTGTTTTTGTTGACGGTCCCCTTTCTGGGGTTGGCGTACAGGGGAATTACTGCCATACAGTTCAAAATCATCACCCCAAAACCCACCATGATTAGGATTGTTTTTCTTTCTTTGGGGGGGCCCTTTATTCTAGGGGACACTTCCCCATTCTTTCCAGGGATCCTTCTTTTCAGAAAACCATCCAGGGGAAACAGCTGGTTTTTGGAAAGAATGACGGTTGAAAAGAATGGGAAATCAACCCCTAGATTTATGGCTTCCTTCTGTTCATTTGCCTAGGTCCTCCAGTAGAGAGGTTAGAATAAGGGTGCCAACTTGTTTCTGTAGTCTATTTAGCAGGGAACCCTCCCAACCAAAAAAGGTCAAAGGGCACTTAGCTGGCGGACCTAGCCACAAAAAACCGGCACTCTCAAACAAGACACGCTCCTCTAAGCCAGCGCCTGATTTCCCAGACCTCTTCCATTTGCAACAGAGTCCGTTTGGGGAGTGGCCTCTAAAGAGAGAGGTTCCAATATTGATCCATGGGACAAAAAAAGCACCCTTGTTCCAGGATCCTTCTTTTCAGGCCAAACAAAAATGAAGCCGCCCAGGGAAATCAACCCCCAGACTCATGGGCTCCTTCCGTTCATTTGGCTGTGGCAACCAAAAAACCGGGTAACCCCAAAATGGCTCGCCCGATCGAAAATGGGTACCCGAAATGGAACCCTGGCAAATGGAACCCATGACACAAACAGGTCCGATTCCTGGTGGTCTAATTTTGACCCATACCCACGTGTCTCAAAATTTTCTCAAAAGCAACTCGTCACACGCCATTTTGAGCCACACCCATTTGCCCGGGGGAGCGCCTCGAAACCCATGGGCTTGGCCAAACCCCCAAACCCCCCGCCTGGCGGCGGCCCCAGCGGGCAGTGCCGTAGGAACCCGGCGCCGCCCTCGCGGAAGCCGTGCACCAGCACCCGACTCTCACCGCAGCCTCGAAATCGGAAGTAGCCCGCGAAGCTCGTGTCAACCCTTCTTTTTTTGACCCTCCAAAGCTTTTGGGGAACCTTAAACCTTCTTTTTTAAGCCTCCAAAGCTTTTGGGGAACCTTAACCCTCGCCCCTTTTGGGGAACCTCTTTCTTTTCACCCTCCAAGCCGTTTTTATTGTTCAACCCTTCCATGCCTTTTAATTTCACCCTAGGAATTTTTGTCCCTGTGTCCCAGAACGTTAAAGCCCAAAGTCACCAAAAATCGCCAGCAAGGAAAAAAGGTGCACCTTGGCTTGTGTTGCATTTCTTGGAGCTCTTTTTTGTTGATGCAAAGCCTAGCGGAATTTGCAATGTGAATGCTATCCGGGGCTGTGGCGCAATGGCAGCGCGCCCATGCTTTCCACGCATGGCGGGTTCAAGTCCCGCTGGCCCTATGCCTTTAAACACCAACAAAAAAAAAGCTGCCACAAAAAGAACAAACAACTGGAGCCACCGGGTGCCTTTTCTTTCCTCTTTTCCGGTACCAGTCTTTCTTTGTTGGGCTTTAAGGGCAACCGAAAGGGAAAACCACCATTGTGGAGTTGGCTCACTTCCGCCAGCTTTGGCTTTCGTCAGCCTGTAAGGACGTGTTTTTTCCGGCCCACGAATGCCCATCTTTCGAGGCACCCCGGCAGCTCATGCAAAATGGTTTGGTCTCCGCATTCCGCGATCCAGCCAGCCAGAACCACCCCCACCCCCACACCAACCTCCAACCCAAGGTGAACGTAACTCCCCCCTGTGGGATTTCAAAGGGAACCAGCCCTTTTTGAGAGACCGAGAAACTTGAGTTCCGTGGATGGCCACACCAGCACCAGCCTTGCTTTTGCCGCTATATGGTCCAAACCCGAGAAGTGTTCTCAAGCCCAGGAACCAAAGTACCCCAACGGAGTGCTTCGGCTGCGACATGATCCAAACCCACAAAGCCTTAAGTCCGGTTTCAGAACTCAGGGAGTCAGCAGCCAAATGCACAAAATGTCTGGGCTTTCCCGTCGGTTTCCTATAACGCCACACAAAAATGGGGTGATACTGTGCCAACTCCAAAAAGGGTGGGTACCCCTTTGTTTAGTGGGTTTAAAGGAAAACAAAAAGCAACACCCAAGCCATTTTGGGAGGGGGGGGTCTAACCTCAAAAACAACGGTCCCCTCACTGGCCCGGCCACATCTTGCTGGTTCGATAGGCAGGGAATGAGGGATGGAGCGACAACCCAAGAAACTAAAAACATCCCTTCTACTGTCCTTTTTTTTTTTTTCGCGAATCCAAAACCCGGCTTATTGCCCTTAAGACTTTTTCCGGGAATCCCAAACCCGGTTCCTTCCACCAAATCCAGCCACCCCCGGCATCCACCTCTCGCATCCACCTCGCGCCTCGGAGGTCCAGCAGGCGCCCGGACCGCAGCGCGGCCGCGCAGAGGGCAGTGCCGCAGCAGGACACGTCGACTTCCGAGAGCTCCAGGCAGTAGACCCTCGGTACTGTGGCTGTGGTGGTCAAAACCCTGGAAACCCCTGGGGAACATCAAAGGTGGTACATGGGTGTTCATCTATGACGCCATGGGTCATGTGCTGTACTTGAAGGGGCTGTGGTGGTCAAAACCCCCCAAAAAAACACGTGAAAACATCAAAAATTGGTGGTACATGGGTGTTCCTCCGCAAAATGGGATCGGCATAGGGCACATGACCCATGGCCTCGGTTGCTGGAAGGGGCTTGGGGTTGAAGGGCTTGGGGCTTGCTGAGTGCTTGGTGTGGTTTTGTTTGGTCACAGGTCTCATTCTTTTTAGGGGCTTGGGATGGCTTGAAGTAGAGGCTTAAAAGGAGCTTATATGTATAGGGGGTTAAAAGGGCTTGAAAAATTGTATGTGCTGTTTTTGGCAATGGAATAAACAAGTTGGTGGTTGGGTTTTAAGGTCATTGTTTAAGGAGCTTGGGGTTGAAGTTTCACTGGGTTGAGTGCTTTTGTTTTGAGTCTGGGGCCTAAGGGTTTAAAACGGGTTGTGTGGCTTTTTGGGGTGAAAGAGGTTTGTAAAGTCTAGGTCCTCCAGATTTGAGAGGATAGAATAAGGATACCAACTTTTCTGTAGTCTATTTTAGTAGGGGAACCCTCCCCAAAAAAAGGGTAAAAGGGCACTACTGGGGGACCTAGGAGTGTTTTTAATTCTGGGGGCTGAACAGGTTTACAAAGGGTTTACCGGCGGTTATGGGGGTTTGTAGCTCAAAGGATTTGAATGGACCAGCCCTCAAGGATCAGAATTGGACGCGAATGGATGCAGGATGGTGGTCATGTGGTTTTTGCGTTGGGATATGGTTGTGGTTTCTGGGCTGCCCTCAGATCCCCCCACTAAACACTAAAAGGCTAAAACGCTAAGGGGATGTTGAGTCATTTTGAGTAAAAAGGGATTTACGAAGCTGCTGTGGGGTTATGGGTGGGGTTCAAAGGGATCAGGTTTGTTGGGTTTCTTGCGTTGTAGAATGTAAACAACGTGTCTTTCCTTGTTTCCCTGTCACAACAAAAACATCCTTTGATTGCGCCAAACCTTTGGGGTAAGGGGGGGGGGGGTAGCAGCTACAAACATACAAGCAAGCCAAAACCAAACCAAACCAAACCAAACCAAACCAAACCAAACCAACCAACCAACCAACCAAGAAACCAAGAAACAAGCAAACAAGCAAACAACAAACCACACAAGCAAACAAATGCACCAAACCAAAACAACGCAAAACACCCAACACAACATCAAGCAACAACGTTGCTGACCACAAACAAAATGGCGACGTACCGCCCCAAGAAACCGACTTCGGCCACGGCCCCTTCGACCGAGCCGCTTCGGCTGTAGCACCTGGATCGCATGAAGCGCTTGGGTCGCCTCCCCCAGGAACGCCTCCAGCTTTCGGCCGGGAGACGAAAAGGTGAGGAGAGACCCTCTTCAGGCAACGTCTTTGGAGTGCAAACGTCTTGGTGTATTTCCAGAAATGGTGTATTTGCAAGTCTCTTTCAAACATGGCGTATTTGCAAACGTCTTTCTATCAGGCAGCGTGCGTCACTATCTTAGCTGCAGCTTTTGCTCCGACTGAACATGTCATGTTCAGCTGATCGGCCTCAACCAGTCTACATGTGGGTCTGTCGTTTTGTCTGTTTTTGAGGGGTCCAGCCGAAACAAACATGGCTTTCATTTTGGTGGTTTCCCTTTAAATCCACAAATATATTTTGTTGAATGGCGCTTCAATGGAAAACCACCTTGAATTCCAAGAACCCGCGCCTGCGAGGAGGGTGTTTCTCATAAAATGCTGTGGACCCCGTGTTGGTTGATATGTGCAAGGAACGAAAAGGAAACCAACCTTTGTATGGGCCCGCTATTTTGACACATATCCATTTGATAGACTAGGTCCCCCAGTAGAGAGGTTAGAATAAGGGTACCCTTTTGGCACACGGCGGGCGACGATTCGCCGGCTGACGGAGGGGCATGCCGCCCAACCATCTGTCCAGGCCTAGTGGGACAGGTGCCCACCAGTAACACATACCACAGACTGTGGCAGAAAGCACACGACGAGGTGAAACAGCCTCCAAGGGCAGGCAGCCCTCTCATCCAAGCCCACATCACGTAGGCCCAGCGGCATAGGCCGCAAGCGCCACTGCAACCAGCGCCATCAAGCGAGGGACCCCAGGGAAAAGGCCCAATCGCGAGGGACGCGGCCCAGACGGGCCGCCCGCATCCGAGCCCTCTCTAGGAAGGCATCTTCCTCTGGAGTGCACAGCAGGCGCACTCCAGAGAAGGCCCCCCGGGGCCACGCCAGGCCCGCATACGCACCCAAACGGGGCTCCCACTTGCCTGGAAAAGCAAGAGGGGCCCTCCGGGTGACACAACGCCGAGCTGCTTTGAAGTGTACCAGCAGGTCCTGCACTGTGGCAGCGCGGCCGTCCTGATAGCTGATAGGGCAGGATGACGGGGTAGCGCCTCCACACCACCAACGCAACCGCCAGGCCCGGCTGAAAGGCCTCCTCAGCGCGTAGCCAAACTGCACCATGAAGGAAGCTGCTCCACGCCTCCCAGGACGAGGCACCCATAACCCAATCATCAGGCTTCCCCGGCGGGGGAAAAGCAGCGCAGAAGCGCGGAGGGCCATGGCACGGGCCCGGTGCAGGCTCCGGGGGAGGGGCAGGAGCCACAGGGCACAGGGCTTCACCAGGGTCAGGGGCAGGCACAGGGGGAAGGGGGGTGCGCGGCAGGGCAAGAAACAGGCTCTGCAACCACAAGTGACGGCGGTAGGTGGCGAAGAAGAGAGCATCAAGCCTGCGGGCAGGGACAGCCAAGGAAACCCTAGCGGCAGACTTGGCCGCAAGGTCAGCAGCATGGTTGCACCGAGCATGCAGGGCCTCAATTGGATGAGTAGCAGCCGAGATGACCACATGCCCTCGAATCCAATGAAGCTCAAGGATGAAACCACCCACCGCACGCGACCGGACAAGAGACCACAGGACCTGCCAGAGGTCAGCCGCTATGTGGGGGGCAACCACACCAGCCGCACAAATTGCCTGCCACGCCTGGACGGCAGACTGGGAGTCGGTATGCACAACCAGGTGCCCCCGAACGTGCATGGCCGCACGCACAATGGCATACACCTCCGCACGATAGTTGTCCGCAAAAACACCCGGAACCGCACCAGCATCAACAGTGGCGCGCGACCCAGACACGACGGCATAGCCGGCAGCGGCCAAGAAAGGGTGCTGCGGCAAGTAAACACTACCATCAGTCCAGAGGTGAGTGGCGTGCCCAAGGCCATGGCGCGGCCAAGGGGAAGTAGGAGGCCACGGCTGGGCAGCACAGAGCAGATCGGCAGGGACCTCAAGCAGACCATGAGTGGCGAAGGCAGGCCCCTGATCAGGAACAAGAGGGGGGGGAGTGCCAACCTCCTCAGGCAGGGCCTGACACTCAACGAGGTGACCAATGGTCTCCTGTTCCCGCCCACAATACCGACAGAGGGGGCTACCAGACAGGCCCGAGGCATGGAGCCGGTCCGCAGTGACAGCCGAACCAACAACAACCGCCGGGGCCACAGCCTTCCTGGAAGGTAGGAGACGGGAAAAGGAGGTCCACCGCGGACACGGGGGAACACTCCAGGGGGAGCGAGAAAAGGCCACATCCAGGAGACCAGTAGGACCATGCGCAATGTCCGCACGCTTGCCCCGGCAGGCCCTGGCATAGGCATGCTGAGGAATAGTCCACTGGAGCAAACGCTTAAGCGAGCGCAGAGACATGCCAAACAGGGAGAGCCAGGGGCCATGATCAAAGGCAACGGAGGCAGGGGCCTGAAACCGGAGACCGCACGCAGTGAGCGCCGACACAAAGGTGGCCACAAGGGTGGAAGGCAGCAGGCGCTGATTGGTAAAGGCGATCCGCCACTTGAGGCTGAAAACCTCCGAGCGCTGGAGATGGGCCGCAACATTAAGAATAGTGCGGTATGGCAGCGCATACTCAGGATGGACCAAGTGGCCGGGATGGACAACCGCGAGCAGGAGTTCCCGGGACCTCCACATGGGCCGACCATCCCAGAGCACTGAGGCTACCTCCGAAGCCAAGGCAGAAAGGATGCGCTTGGGCACAAAGTTGAGCTCAGCGGCATACGACAGCATGGGCATGGCCTTGCGGGCAACATAGGACGCTTTAGAAGCAGCAGAGAGCGGGAGGCTCCTGATGGCCCGGAGTGCTCGCCTGAAGCTCGCAACAGCCGGTGCACGGGCATCCCGGGTACCGCGGAGGTCAAGGTTGATTGTGACCCCCAAGGGGCGCAAGGCCTTCAGACGGGGAGCCTGCGGCAAGGCAGGCTGAAGCTCCGCCACACAAGCATCCTGAGTGGCCCACCAACCGGACTTGTGGAGGTTGAACTGCTGGCCAGCGAGGGAGTCAAAGAGAGACGTAGCACGGACGGCCTGGACCAAGCTGGGGATCGCATCCAAGGTGGTCACGGTCATATACCCGTCATCAACAAAGACACGGGGCGTGACACCAGGGAAGCGCCGTATCAAGAGGGACCACGCTGTCATCAGCACATTGGCCGCAAGCACGGACATGGAGCACCCCTGGGCAATACCATTGTGGTTGGCCAGGGGCTCAGGGTGAACCGCTCCACGCCAGGACAAAAAGCGACGAAAGCCATCGTAGTTCCCACACCAGGCGCGAGCAACAGCCACAGGGAAACCCAAGGCAGTGAGGAGCGCCACAATCTGCCTAGGCATAAGGCGATCAAAACACTTGGAGCGATCAACCTGGATGCCCGCAAAGGGGGCGTCAGTGGCACGCGCCTCATGGAAATCCAGCGCCATGTGATGGGTGATATCCTCCACACGGCGACCAGGGACACCACCAACCACCTCAGGCGGTAACACAGCCCGTTGCCACGCAGTGGAGGCTCGAAACCTTGCCGACGACCACGCCAGGTAGCAGATAGGAAGGACGGCTATGAGCCTCTTGGACAGAGGGGCGGGGCCAGCACCCTTGTCCAGAACAGCCAAGCGCGCAGTGCCGAATATGCGCGGCATGGGCCACCGGCCCAGCTCCACCTGCTGAAGAAGATAGGCGAGGAGCCGGAACACAGGGATAGGCAGTGCGCGGAGCTCAACGGCCCTCCACCCGTCCAAGCCAGCAGACGAATCAGGGCTCCGGCGAGCTACAGACGCAGCCAGGTCCTCAGCAGACACGGGGTCTAAAACCAAGGGAGAGGCACGCTGCTCAAGGAGATGCTGGACAGGGCGCATGAGCGGATCCACAGGAAAGTCCTCCGCATGCACCTCAAAGACAGTGTTCCACTGGTCCGCAGCGTGCGCAAGGGCGACTGCAGGATGGTACGCCGGGGCACCATCAGGACCAGCCAGGGAGTTGGAGTGAGCAGCCTGGGTGGCACTGCGCAGGTGAGCGAAGACCTCCTTACCTGAGTGAAGGGCCGAATGGCGGAGACGCTCCTTCCAACGCGCAACAGCGGCGCGCTGCCGCGTGAGGTGGGCATCACGGAGGGCAGCCTCAACCCTCTCACACAAAGGGGCAACACCCACCGGGGTGAGGTCCTCATCCGTATAGGCAAACCGAAGTTCCCGAGCGACACGGCAAAAGCGCCTAAGGGTGCGGTGCGTGACCTGAGCATCAGCAACCGAGGTAAGCGGGAGCCGCACCAACCGATAGAAGAGCTCCCGCGACAGAGACAGGAGTCTAGCCAAGCGGGCGATGGGATGGTATGAAGGAAAGGGGCCTGCTGGGGGCGCAGCGGGGGCAGGGTACCCCGACAACGGCGGCCGCGCCCCCACCGGGCACCAGACTGGAGAAGAGTGGCAAGCGCAAAGTCACAGAAAAGAGACCAAGCATCCTCCACAGTTCCAAGTGAATCCAGGGCGGGCCGGTACGTGGACTGCCACATGTCCTCGGCAAGAACAGCACGCTGGTCCTCAGAGACAAGCCCAGACAAGTCGAGCGGAGCAAAGGCAGCGAAGGCAACAGCCCGTGGGACCTCATCCGGAGCCGCAAACCTCAAGGTCACAGGGGCATGCTGAAAGCCACACAAGGGCTCCACTTCTGCCGACTGGAGCAGGCGAGAAGCAAGGCCGTTGAGCAAAACCGTGTCAATGGCCGTACGGGGGCCAGACCCAAGCCAGGTCTTGTCACGACTGAAAGTGGGCTCCCTCATAGTCGCCTCCGTCGGAGGCTGCAAGGGGTCCAGCCAGACCCCGGTAGCAACAGCATCGTCACACGCCGCATAGGCCAAGGGGTCGGCCTGGAAATCGCCGGCAAGGACCACAGGGTGATCAGCAGTGTACTGGGCTGCAAACTCAAAAATGGCAGCGAGGTAGTCCTGATTCTGGCTGAAGATCACATCATCAGAGGAGGCACCAGAA